TTTTTTTCTCCCCCCCTTTCTCACTGTCCCTCTCCCCTTCTGTTTTTCCTTTCCTTCCTCTTTCTTTCTCCCTTTCCTATCTCTCACTCATGTCTGTCCCGTCTGTAACATCTGGAAATAAAATATATTAAATAATAAAAACAAATATCGACCAAATGGACCAATACGGCAATGCCACGATGATCCATTTGGCAAAGTAAATCCATTGGGTATCCTTGTTGGTCTTCAGACAACAATTCTGATGGCTAAAGAATGAAATGGGACAGGCGGAAAAAAAAAAAAAAAAAAAAATGAAGGCAAACGTTCCCCATTTCTGGTTGAAAATTATGCACTACTGAGTATTTGCAGGCAACAAAGAAAACTACAGACAACTGTAGCAACCAGAGCAAAACATGAGGAGCTTTTTGTATCAGCCACACTATAAATGTGGCCAACCTTTCCTCCAGTTGCTGAACAGAAACCACACCCCACAAACACCATCTGAACCCAAACTATTTAGTGCATCTTAGTGCATAAAGTGCATCAAGTGACGAAACGTTTCTCCCACTGAAAACGCTTCGTCCAGATGAACAGAATCAACTTTTGGAGATTTATTTACCTGGATGAATGAGCATGCATGAAAACGTCAAGCATATTTACCTGCTAAAATAAAACCTGCACAACATTTTAAAGAGCTGTTTTCAGGAGCAGTGATCACAGTAGCAATGTCAGTAGCACTAAAGTGAGAAGCTGAAGAATTTTCAGCAGTACCTCCAGCTGTGTGCAGGCGCCCAGCTCTTCAGGAACCTCTTTAAGTCTGTTTCTGTAGGCAAATAAAACTCGGAGTTTCCTCAGCTGACCGATCTCTGGTGGCAAATTGCTCAGCTGCACACACACAACACACAAATAACACCAGGAACAAGCATCTTACCATAAATATAAGGAAACAGATATAAGAGAAGCCATTCCAGGAAAATAAAGTGAAAGATGTTAGAATTAAACTCTTCACTAAGTGCCCTGAAATCCAGATTGAAATATAGAATAATTATAGACACAGGGTGTCACGGTTCTGGGTCAGTTTGACCCAGTATTTTGAGTTGTTATGTTTTGGTGTGTTTTTGCATTTTGGATTCTTTTCTTATTATGATGATAATGATGATTATGACTCTATGTTTCAGTTATTCTTGTTTAGGGATTAGTCCGTAGGTTTTGTGTTCTCATGCTTATTGCAGGTTTAGTTCAGTGTCTAGTCTGTCTCTCAGTGTCGTGTCTGCGTCTTTGTTTAGTAGTGTCTTGTTTCCTGTTTTACTCTGAAGGTTCATGTTCCTGTCTTATGTCAGTGTTTCTAGCTTTGTTCCCCCTGTCTCATTAGGTCTTATTCCTCCCAGCTGTGTTCCCCTTCTGTCTCTAATTCCTTGATGACTTCCTCAGTGTTTTTAAGCCCATTGTGTCTTCGTGTCAGTGTCGTGTTGTCTGTTAACATTCCTGTCATTCTAGCGACACGTCATGAGTCATAGTTTTTCAGTCTCTGTTCTGGTCATGTTCATAGTAATCTGCTCCTGTCATGTTCTCATAGCCTTTCATGTACCAGTCCAGAAGACTGTCTTTTGCTTTTTCATGTCATGTGCGTACCTCTTAGTTACAGTCCAAGTCAGTCTTAGTTTTTCTTAGTCTTTAGTTGTTTCCCAGTTTAGGCCCTTTGTTTAGGTCATTGCCATAGTTTATGTTTGGTTCTTTTTGCTTTACTGTTTACCGGCCCTAATAAAGGCTCACTTTAAGTTCAGTAAAATTTTGCCTCCTTCGTCTGTGTCCGCACCTGGGTCCTCCAAACACCCTCCTCACGGTCTGCCCTCGCAGACCGTGACACAGGGAAATTAAAACTCTGAATAAGAGACTTTATCAAGTGTTGAGGGCTGAAAATTTCCTGTTTACAAAACATTTCACAAACAGGTTTAGCTCACAGGTTAAGCAAGGCTAACAGCATATGACAGAAACAGCCTGCCATGCATGCTGGCACTACTCAGGGCTCATTATGCTGCTGAAGGTTGAAGGAGGGTGGAGGCAGAAACTGGATCCTGGTAGATTTCAGTGGGGATTAGAACTTTTATTTAACCAGGACACTGAGCAGCTGCACAGGAGGAGGAGGCAGAAGGAGGGATTGAAGGAGGTCAGTACCTCACTCATAGGTACATTACATGACTTTTACTTTAAATTAAACACATGAACATCAATATGCTCTCACTGGTGAGCTCGTGAAAACACCTGGATAACACCTCCTGTTACTGAATAAAAGACTTGGATGTTTATCAGGCTTCAGCAAGAGACTCTCATGGTCCATCATGGGAAATGTAGGATCTAGTGTTTGTGGAATAGTATGCCTGTCCTCTCCCCTGCAACACCTGTTCTCTAATAAGATGATATGATTTCATGGAAGAGCTGTTTTTAAAATCACCGCATTAAACGGTTTAACAGGGTTCATGAGTGTTTCCTTAGTTTTTTTGTACAATAAAGGGTTACTGTTGATCAACATGAGGGATAAATATCTATGTGTGTGTCGTGTTACATGAGTGTTTTCTTGTGTAACTTTGTATTTGCTTTCATTTCCATCCTCATATGTTCTACCATAAAATAAACATCTGGTTTATAAAAATTTTAGCGTCAAACGTTTGAAATATTCTGTAACCATGTGGGATTCAGTCTTTGAATGAATCCTGACAAACTCCTGCGATGTCATATGTTAAAACTAAAATGGTTCAGTGGAGGAGGAATGTCAGGTATCAGGTGTATTTACCTGGTTACCCCACAGATTGAGGACCACCAGGTTAGACAGCAGAGCCAGCTGAGAAGGAAGAACAGTCAGGCTGTTGAGAGACAAATTCAGCTTGTCCAACTCCAACAACTCCCACAGTTCATCTGGAACCTCCTGTAGAGTGAAACAGAAAAGGAAGCTGCTGCTTTCCACTCAGAATTCACCACACAGCTGGAAAAGTTCTCACAGCACTGTTCTTTAGTGTACATATTAAATTTTTTTACATCACAAAAGACAGAAAATGCAGCTGACATGTGGAAAGCCTGATGTTTGAATGCTCCTAAATGTTGCTCGATAAAACAGCTTAATCATTTAAAATAATAATTAATATTTCAACCAGTTACCAATAATATGGCCTAAATGTGTCACGGCCAGGCGGATCAGCTGCACGCTGATCAGCCCTCTCTGTTTCTCTCCCTCTCTTCCTCTTCTCTCTCGCCGGGGCGGAACTCACTGTGGGTTCACGCCCTCGGGAGATGAGACACCTGGGTCTCATTAAGGGGAGCAGCATTTAAGCCAGGAGGTGACTGCTGTTCGTCGCTGGATCGATGTCTACCACGCGTTAGTGAAGTCAAGCTACAGCAAGTTTAGTTAAGAGTGTTTCCCTCTGTGCGTCGTTCTTAACCCTGTCTCCCTGTCCACAGAGCTTCCTGGATTTTTCCCCCGTGTGATTCCCGTGTGGCAGTGTCGGAGTGTGAGCCTGTGATCGTGTGAGTGGATATTCTGACTTGGACTTCCCTGGAGACCCCTTCTCCCCCCACTCCGCTGTATATAACCCCCCCCCCCGCACATTCTTGTATATACACCTGGTGACTTGTAAATAAACCCTTCTTGTGAGCATCAGAACCGGAGTCCTGCGCTTGAGTCCTCCTCCATACCGTAACAAAATGTCCTCTCCTGTTGAAGCCAGCTCATATTTTCATTGTTTTAAAGTAGGGATGGGTATCGTTTAGGTTTTATCCGATACCGGTGCCAAATCGGTACTTTTGAAACGGTGTCGGTGCTTAAACGGTGCTCGAACCGGTGCTTAAAGAATGGAGAACACAAACTTTGTCCAAAAACCTCTCATGTTCAGCTATTTTTTTTGTAAAAAGATAACAATGTGTGCCTTTTCTGCAGCTATGTGGCATATATGGTATCACTCTTGGCTGGAAGCAGTGCTTAAACAATGGAAAAACCACAAACTTAAACCCTCTCATGTTTAACTGTTTCCCCCTTTTTTCTTTGGTCATTTTAGCCTTTTTGGCCAGGGTGAAGGGAGTATCTGCCATCAAACAAGAAGACAGCCGCATGTAGCTATGATGATGTTTGCTAGTTCACCTTACATGCATTAATGTAATAACGTGGTTAGCCTACTCAGCGTAAATTACACACGAACAACATTAAGCTACTCACGCAGAGAAGAACGGCTGGTGCTGCCATCATCATCCTCATCATTTCTGCTACACTGGCAGGGCTAGGGGCCAGGACTCTATTCTTCGGGTTTTTGGGGGATGTTGCTCCGGGTCCGATAACTGGCAACCCACCCGACGTGCACGGTGTGAGGTCTCGCAGCAAGCTATCAAATACGGCGCATTTCTCGGCTTTTAAAAAAAACGCTATGCGTCGCCAGCTGTTTAATCGGATTCTTGGTGTTACCTCCTTTGACAGTATCACAGTATCAGCTTAAAGAACTTGTTGCAGGCTGCGGAGTTTGCATATTTTGCTGTGAAGTACAGCCAGACTTTGACCGCTTCGCCTTGGGCATTTTTAATCTGTAGCTCTGCTCTAACAGAACGTACATACCTGGCCCCGCCTACTATCCTCGGAAACGTAAAATGATTGGCTAGAAGTGTATCACAGCTCAGGAAAAAAAAGCACCAAAATAAAGCACCGAAATGTGCGCTGCTTTTCGGTCTGGTTACTACCGTTTATGTCACCGGTACCCATCCCTATTTTAAAGTCATCAGTATTTATTAACACGAGCCCAAAACATACTGTGCTGTACTGTGTGAGGAGAAAATGCCCATCGTTTCATCACATGGTGTGATTACTGTGTGAAAAGTCACTGATAAATGTCACGCTGGCACTGATCTAATGCTTGTTCACAAATGTGCCAGTGTTCATTTTGACAGATGAAGAAGTTAAAAAGAAGTTAAATATTTAAACTTGGGTCAGTGTCTTATGAAACAAATCTACAGTTAAAATATGTTTACACACTGCCAGTCAAAAGTTTTAGAACAGCCGAACTTTTGTCCAGTTCAAGTCATTCAATCCAATGAAAAGCTGAAATTGTACAAAGGTAAGTGGTGAACTCTCAGAGGTTAAACAAAGGTAAGATTACCCAAAACTGAAAAATAATGTGCATTTCAGAATTATCCAAAAAAAAGGCCTTTTTCAGGGAACACAACATGGGTTAACAGTTTAAAGCTGTTCTGCAGTAATGGAGGTTGATCAGGCGATGAAAGCTGGTGCTACTAACTCCTACAGGTGGTTCTGGATTACTTACAGCCCCCTCTGTCTGCATAAAAGCAGTGTTGGACCACACTGTGGTACCATACCCTCATCTCTCTGCTGTTTGTGCTAATGGAAGCTCAAGGTGGAGGCGACCGTTGGTTGAAGACTGAATGGGGATGGCTATATATTGGGACCACCCTGACGCTTGCTACCTTTAATAAAATATTTGATTGTTGTAAAACCACAAACCCTTGGCAGCGTTGATCTTTCCTTGGGAGCAGGGAGTGGGGCCGTTATTCGTTTTGAGGGGTTTTTTTGGTTGCCTCTGGGTTCCCCCCAGGTGGGGGTGTAACAAGTTCATGATTTCTTTTTTAACTGCAACTGCTTGTTTGTACTATGCTTTCATTTCAGAGTGCAAAGAGACATTAAAATGTATAATTTCTAATAAAAAGAAACTTCTAAACCTTTTGACCTGAGTGTATATAACAGGGATCTCATCACGTGTTGCGCAGTATTCAAAACTATAGTTAGTGGGTGAGGTTTCAATTGGTTCTGTGTTACCAGTGGTATTCAGTTCAATTCAATTCAGTTTTATTTATATAGTGCCAAATCACAGAAAAAGTTACCTCAAGGCGCTTCATATTTGAAACTAAAATCTCTGCAGTGATTCAAAGAAAACCATCCTAAGTGGATTTGCACTTGCTCATAGGCAGCAAGAGTTGGAAAGCAAACAAAGGAGTTTAAATAAGTGAAGATTGATTAAGGCTGGCATGAGGAACCAGATGCTGTCATATCTGATCAGATCATATCTGAATAATTGACTGCGTTCCCAGAAGGATGAAAGAGGTGTTGATCACAGTGCAGGCTGATGATGGAGCTTCAACCTGCATCTGAGATAACACTTGGATCTTGGATCTCATAGGGCTAAACTCTGAATGTACAAGTGTAGACACCAGCATGTGTGCTTGTACATTATTAATTGAAACCACAGAGATGGCAGCAGTGGCCATTTGTACCTACAGTGGGGCAAAAAAGTATTTAGTCAGCCACCGATTGTGCAAGTTCCCCCACCTAAAATGATGACAGAGGTCAGTAATTTGCACCAGAGGT